TCACTAAGAAGCATGCCTTTGTTCTCATTTCCACATTCCACAGATGTGGCAAACAGCCTTCGCCCACCCCTGGGGTGACACCAACAGCCCAGGGAGCCGCCCACATCTCAAAACCCTGGTTCCTGCCCTGCAGCCTCCCTAGTCCCTCCTGCACTGACCCTGAACGGGGCTGGGCATGCTCCCGGACAGCTTGGACCTTCTGGGGACGTGGAGCCTGGGGAGCAGGGCTCCCACACTGACACCAGTGAGACAGGAGGGAGCTCCTTTTCTGGAAGTCAGTGACAGGAGACATTCTGGAGAAGGAGTCAGGCATTCCCAATGCACGGGCTGGGCTGGCTCAGCAGGGCTGGCAGAAGCAGTGAGGGCCGAGCTGCTGCGCCTCTCAATGACACTACCAGGGTAACTGCTGCCAGGAGCCTTCCAGATGCTCAGACCCCACAGGTCATGATGTCAGCTCTCTTTGGCCTCCGTCGCTTGACCCTGCCCTACAAACTTCCTGGTGCATGACCTAGAACCTGCCTGTGTCCTGCCTGGTCCTTGAGGCCTCTCTAGTTTTATCAGGATAGGTGTGCTTTACATATGGCTACCAAGAAAGTTTCTCTTGGCCTAATTGTTCCTCTGACAAATCATCAATCCTGAGAAGTTCCTTTAGAAAATTCCTAAAATGTAGACTGTGCCAAAAACATGGGGTGAACTGAGGTACCCACGTTGTCCTGAGGACGTTCTTGGCTGGTGCGGACCTCTGTGGCCCACTGCCCCCTGAAGGGTGGGACCTCGCCTCTGGCTCCTTCTTGCCCTGCCCTCTTCCCAGATTCTGGAACTTGCCAGGTGCCAGCCATCCTGTACTCTCCATCTGTTGAAAAAACCAGTCTTTGCTCCATGTGGGCAACAATCGGCCACCCAGCCAGTCTCTCCCTCTGTCAAAGCTGTCGTTGACACCTGGCTCCCGCTTGAATATTCCTTAAGTTTGGAAATGGTAGCTCTGCAAAATGAATCACATCTCCAATGGGTTCAGCCACTTTAAAGGGAAAAGAAATCTGAGGATGGCTAGAATGAAACTGTATTGTCTTTCTTTTTTTTTGAGATGGAGTCTCGCTCCGTTGCCTAGGCTGGAGTGCAGTGGCACGATCTCAGCTCACTACCACCTCTGCCTCCCTGGTTCAAGTGATTCTCCTGCCCCAGACTCCCGAGTAGCTGGGATTACAGGCACACAACACCACACCTGGCTCTTTTTTTGTATTTTTCGTAGAGACAGCATTTCACCATGTTGTCCAGGCTGGTCTCAAACTCCTGACCTCAGGTGATCCACCTGTGTCAGCCTCCCAAAGTGCTGGGTTTACAGGTATGAGCCACCACACCTGGTCTAAACTGCATTTTCTAAAAGAATATGTTCTGCTTACTTTGTTAGCATACTTTTAATTATATTCTTATTCTCCCTATCCCTCTCAAAAGGTATTTTTCCAGCCTGCCATTTAAGTGGTAAACTGCTGTTAAGTTCAAATGTGAAATTCTTAAAACTCCCTAAGTATGTACACAATAAGTTCTGTGGCATGGCATGGAGTTTTCTTGGCATTAAAAAAATCGAGTACCTCTTTTGGTCAAAACCTCTAATTTTACACTTTATGGTCTTTGGTCATAAAAAAAAAAAAAAAATCTTAGTGGCAAGTCTTTCCTCCAAACAGCTCTCTAATCAATTCTAATAAGTTTGTGCAAGAGAACAGGCCTGGGAATTCCACCCAATTATTTGATTTTCACTAATCAGGATAAAGTCTGTGAAACTCAATTACTGTTGTTTGTGGAACAGACAGCTGAACAGCGATTTATTCCCAATGATATCGAGTGGCGTTAGGCTAGGCCAGAACTTAGAACTGAGCCGCGCATGGCAGCTCCGCCAAGCAGGGACAGGGAAAGAGGAATTTAACAAGTTTGCACCTAGCGTGTTAAATAATCAAATCCCTCTTCACCTCTTAAATGAAATGATGGAATCCCCAATTCACAATTGCTTTTCAAAATCTATTACCCAAAGCTCTGCAGTCATTAATGCTGTCTTCCTGGGAACTACTTTCACAAGTTTGAACCGTAAGTGACCCCAAATTTATCTCCAATCAAAACCTCTGTGTTTCACCATGAATCAGATAAGGTCCTTCGCGGTGTTCAGAAGTGGAACATTTTCTAGAAAAACATCCCCCGGCCGCACACAGGGCATCTGTTTCTTGAGTGCAAGGTACTTGTTTTTGGTTCAGGAGAAATACGAAATCATGTACAGTACATGCTGGGGGAGCTGACACCAATCACTTGTGGCTCTTTTAAATTCCCAAGAATAAAAATAGAATTGGTCCCCATCTCATTTCTTGCTATTTTTAATAAATGGTTTCAGTTACTGAAGGCAGGATTTCATTTCAGACTTCGAAAGAAGTTATCAAGAAAATAAAGCAGCATCCTAAAATAATATTGTCTATATAGAAGCACCTATTTCCCATCAGACTTGACAACGTTTCTGATAACAACCTAATGCTAAGTTGCACCTTTCAGGCAAGGACCGCCTTCCAGTATTTTCCACAGCGTATTACAAGGTAAAAATGACACCCTCAAAGGGTTGCTAATTCCTCTCCTGTTCCAAGCCAAACCTCCTTGAAGGCTTGCCAAGCCAAGCATCCATTTACATAACTGGAGGAGGTGGGTGTCACTAACAGGGGTTTGACTGGAAGTCCAATTCTGAGCTGGAAGGCATGCCAGAAAAATGTCCCACATTCAATTGTCTATTTCATTTTTGTTGCTAAGTTATGCTTGTGTAATTTCAGTATTTTCATCAAAATGTCACATCCAAGGACATGCGATAGGAAAAGATAAAAAAATTTGATATGAAATACAAGAGCATGATGGCAAACTTCATTCACCTGCTCTACCTGGAAACCTAGCTTGTGACTTTTGTGTATTCCGAGAACCGTGCCTGTTCATCTGCGGCAGGAGTAAGCTTCCCGCCTCTGAAACCTAACATAATACAATGACACAGAAACTGCCTGTATAAAGAAATAAGCAGGAAAACTAACCAGGCCATACCTGCAATTCCCTCCTTTTATTTCAGGGGTTTGAATTTTTCACAGCAAGGGGAAGGCACAATCCAGGGGTGCTGGTGTCACTCCTATGCAAAGTGGCCCACAAAACAGGAACCACGGAAAAAACCAATGGGATGAGAAGAGAATCTGACTTCCAGACATCTCTCCCTCTGAAATGCACTCTGAGATTTTGAGTCCTCAACAAGCTGAGAGCAGGCGTGACAATGGGCCCTGATACAACAGCCCCCTCCTCCCGTTCCATGCCGTCATGTTTCTTCCAAGCTGCAACTCAAATCTTCTCCAGTGAGAACAGCACAGAAGGTTCTTCTGGCTGCTGGAGAGTCTTCCAGGACACCATGACAAGCCGACGTGGCGTCCACGTCTCTTTGGCACGGTCACATATTTCTCAGTATGGACGTGACCCGGGGACCCAGGGAGCAGAGCAGATGGCTGAAACATCCACACACAGCCTACTGTGAATACCAACGACACTTCTGCAGGAGGGCACACTTAGCACTTTGGGTGGAATTCTGTAATATATCCAACCCACCCCAAAAGAAATGCAGAGTGAACACTGAACTTGGCACAGAAGCAGGAGAGAAGGGATGGTCTTTCAACTCTTCTCTTAATGACATCAGATCATAGCAGGCTGGCTATGTCGAGGTAAGGGCTTCCACTTTTCTTTGGCAAAGGCCTCAATGAGTGACAGAAAGTAGGGATTGCCCCACATAAGGCTACCACTGTACACCTGTTACCAAAGATTAAACACCCCAAGGGAAGAAGCACAGAGGTCAACTGCTAAACATTTTAAGCTGATTGGCTGGGTATCCTTGAGCCTAGCCGGTTCTGCAAAGGGAAACACGTGGCTTCGAAGCATGGGGATTAGTAGACGCTCCCTCGTGTCTTCTGTACATCTTGCATCTTCCTTCTGCAACAGCTGGTCAGAAATAGGGGCATCAGGCCATCTCCCTGTTTCCCAACAGGGCAATAACCAACCTACTTCTAGAGAAAATTTGAAAAAGAGACAACTAAGCTAGTGAAATAGAAGAGTTTTTTTTTTTTTTTTCATGAAAACACGATTTATTAATTTTAAGCAAGAGTAAGCATACGTGATAGTGGCCAGCTTGGTGACAGAACTCTCTTCCTGGTCGATGCAGTTCAGCACCTGTTGGGTCTTGGCTGTTGGGATGATGATTCTTTTGGGTGAGGGGAAGAGCTGCCGTCAAGGCTGCCTGCACCCCCACCCAGGCACAGGACCCTGGGCAAAGTCTCAGAAGAGGTAGTGTTTTTACTTTCGCACCAACAACACAACAGAAGTATTGGGTACAAAAGAGGAGGTTTCCTTCCCACTCTACCTCGATGGGCAAAAGGCCTTCCATCTTCACAAGAGGCTGGTGAGGACCATTGGTCAATGACCTAGTGAATTCTGGCTCCCACTCAGAGCACAGAGAAACCCACAAAAGGGGCCTGTGGCTCTTTTTCCAGCTCTGAAGGGGACAGTATGGTTACATCCCCAGGCCCCAGGCTGCTTCTCCTGCCATCATACTGCAAGCCTTCTTACACCACTTTGACCCAGGTTGAGGTCTGGCACAAAATACCCTCAAAGGCGATTAATACAAAAAGCTTCCCGTGAGCTAAGGAGTTAACTATGTGCACTTATTTTTCCAGAGATTGGAGAGAGAAGAGAACTAGCCAACACTTGGTTTGGTTTTGTGTTCGTGGCACACCTAGACAGTTTGGCATAACCAATCCCATAGAGCCTGCAGCCCAATCCATTCTTTTTTGGTTTTTAATGTTTTTTTTTTTTTTTTCATTATCATTTTTCTTGGAAGTAGGGAAGATCTGAAAGCTTGAAAATCAAGAATCAAAAGACAGTGAATCTGGAAGGCATCTGGGAGCAGAACGGAGATTGAAGACGGGTGGCCGCTGCCCTTGAAATGTGAATTTTTTTTTTAAATAGCTGAGTCCACAGTTGCTTGAGGTCCGGCTTGGCTCTTCATTTCCAGCGATGTCTGACCAGAGAGGACTCATCATTCACGACCTCAGGGTCCCGGAGGCGACACTGACACCGGAACGGCAACAGGAGCAGGACGATTAAGACAAGGAGGATGGCTCCACACACACTCATGAGCGCGTACGACACGATCCACAAAATGGGCTCGCTCAAAGACTGGGCAGGGACACAGTTGCTGGCTACGTCCTCCGTTGAGAATGGCCCAGAAATTTCAGACACTGCAGCACCTGCAATTTCTACGGAGACATAAAGGGAAAATCCAGAGCTGTGACATGAGCAGACCACCTCCCCCATCTGACACAGAGAGAACCCCTTGGCTGATTAAACCACAAAGTGATACTCAGGTCCCCGTGGCTTAGACAACTCAGGAAGCACCGAGGGGGTCACCACGCGGTGTGCCTTCGGGGGTCCAGTCCGTGCACACTGGAATGACGGTGTGTTTCAAGGTCTGCGGGTACGGAGCCTAGGTGTGGAGGGGAACTGCGGTGGGGCACCTATGGGAGCACCCTGTGCTTCGTGGAAGGCCGGTGAGGCGGCAGCGCTATGCAGGTGAGAGTGCATGTCAGTGCCTGGTCATGACAGTTGCGTGGGTTGTGCTTCCTCCGTGGAGATGAGAAAAGAGGAGAAAGGGGAGAAAGAATAGGGGAGTCTACCACAGAAAGCTCAGTTGGACCTGCCTGTGTCATGGGGAATTTCCCCTGGTGGAGTCAGCTTGAGTCCACTCTCTACCATGGATTCTGCTACAGACAGGGACCTCACATCAGCCTGACCCACAGGCCCCGCGGGTTGCGAGAACTCCCAGGGTCAGACTGGCTTGAGACCCTCCCTGCTCCACTCTTATCCTAGGTCTCATCTACAGCCAGGAGCAGTAAGTGAACGCAACACCTAATTCATGACATCCCTGGTGACAAAGAGAAACACAGTTAAGATTCGCTCGGTGACTTCTGCTAGAGACTCTTGAATAACTTCAAACCAAGAAGAAAGCTGAGATGATTTCTTAAAGCCAGTTTGTGGATTATCAGTAGACTTCCTTCCCTTACACTAAGCTTCTCTGATCCTTTCAGGAATATGGAATTTAAGCTTTACTTGCAATACAAAAAAGAAATAGGTCTCATTATCCATTTTTCCTATATGTAATCACAGAAATCAGTATTTTGGCACCAGAAAATAACACTGCAAAGCATTTAATTTTTCTATAACTAAAGCTTCAAGATCTTCAGAGCTGCCAAACAATCCCCTTTTTGACTGAGGAAAGAAAAAGTCAAAATAACAGTGGGATAGTGGCCTGAAAAAAATGGTTTTTAAAATCAGAGGAAAACAGGCTCGATTACTTTGCAAAGTGACTGCATTTTCTTGCTAATGTGGATTCTGTCTTAATATGTCTTTTTTTAAAAAGTGCACTGAAAAAGAAAGACAAGGAACTAGAGCCTGCCAACACCCGAGAACAGAGGGACGCAGCCTGCAGTCAATCTACACTCCCATTTCCTGGTTGGTAGATAATGATTTTGCTTAACACAGAGAGAGACAAGGTACAAGAGACAAGGGAGCTCTCCTGGACTGTCTTTTAATAAGGGCGCTAATTCCATTTACAAAGAAAAGCTCTGCCCTCATGACCTAATCACCTTTCAAAGGCCCCAACTCCAAATATCATCGCTTTGGAGATTAGGTTTCAACATAAGAATTTTGGCAGGACATAAACATGTATTCTATAGCACTAATTATTCGAGGAAACAGGAAAACACAGTTCATAGCAGGGAGTAAAATCAATCAATTGGAACTTAGAAATGGCACAGACGATAGAATTAGCAGGCAGGATATCAAGATATTTATTATGACTGTATTCTACTCAGATGCTAGATAAAATGTTAAACATGTTAAATAGAGACACAGAAAACATTAAAGATCTAAATCAAATTTCTAGAGGTAAAAATTGCAATATGTGAGATAAAAACATACTGGATAGTTGTAATAGCAGATTATATGCCGCAGAAAGACTAATGAATTAAAAAACGTAACAGAAACCATCCAAAATGAAGCCAAGAGAAAAAAAACTGAAAAATAAAAAGAGAAAACATCAAAGTGTGGACAACATCAAGCTGCTAAATCATGTAATCAGAGTACTCAAAAGATAAAGGGGATTGTGAGGCAAAAAATATGTGAAAAATCAATGACCAAAATTTTTCCAAATTTGATGAAACTGTAAATCCAACAGATCCGAAAAGCCCAAAGGACCCCAAACACAAAAAAATGACATAGATGATAATAGTGAACTGCTGAAAAACAGTAATAAAAATTTCTTAAAAGCAGAGAGAGAGAAAGAAGAAATATTATGTACAAATGAATAAAAATAAGGATTACAGATGATTTCATGTTGGAAGCAATGCAAACCAGAAGACAATAGAGCAACATCTTTAAAATACTGGAGGTAGAAAAAGCCCTGTCAACCTAGAACTCTATACCTAGCAAAAATATCTTTTAAAAATTAAGATGAAATAAAAATGTTTTCAGTCATACGCAAATTGAGATAAGTCATTACGGATTTTCACTAGAGAAAGTTCTTCAAGCAGAAGAAAAAGGACATCAGAAGGAAACTTGAATCTACACAAAAGAATGATGAACACCAGAAATAGAAACTATATAGTAGTTATAAAATCTTTGCTTTTAATTTTAAATATTTTAAAAAATTAACTAACGCAACAATTATAACAATGTGCCAGGTGGCTTATAATATAGGCATAGATAAAATACATGCCAATAATAGGATAAAGGACTGAAGAAGAGACATAGAAGTGTATTGTTATAAGGCTTTTAGAATATACGAAGTGGTAGACTCTGATCAGTTAAAATGAACTTATACTATACATCCTAAAGCAATCACTAAGTAAAGAGTTATAGCTAGTAAGCTAGCAAAGAAGATATACATAAATAGAAAATAATCCAAATGAAAGCAACAAAAAAGGAAAAAATGAGACAAAAAGGACAAAAAGAAAAATAGTTTTCTTTGTTGTGTTCCTGGTTAAACAGAGACATATCAATCATACATTAATTATAAATATTCTAAGCTAGCATTTAGCAAACTTTTTTCATAAAGGGCCAGATTGTAAATATGTTAAGCTTTTTAGGTTAGCTTCTTTGTTTCTTTTCAACCCTTTAAAAATGTAAAAACTATTCTTAGCTCACAGGCCATACAGAAACAAGGTACCTGCCAGATTCAGCCTACGGGCAATTGTTTGTGGATCTCTGATTTAAACATCACAACTAAAAAGCAGAGATTGCTAAATTAGATAAAAAGCAAGATCCAAGTATATTCTGCCTACAAGAAACTCGCTTTTAATGCAAAGACTCAAAATGCTGCGAGCACAGTGGCTTATGCCTGTAATCCCAGCACTTTGGGAGGCCAAGGTGGGCAGATCACCTGAGATTGGGGAGTTCAAGATCAGCCTGACCAACATGGAGAAACCCCGTCTCTACCAAAAATACAAAATCAGCCAGGCATGGTGGCGCATACCTGTAATCCCAGCTACTCAGGAGGCTGAGGCAGGAGAATTGCTTGAACCCAAGAGGTGGAGGTTGTGGTGGGCCAAGATCGTGCCATTGCACTCTAGCCTGGGCAACAAGAGTGAAACTCCATCTCAGGAAAAAAAAAAAAGAAAAAAGGAAAAAGAAAAAAAAACCCCTTCACAATGTTAAAAGTAAACAAATGAAAAAAAGTATCATATTAATGCTTATCAAAAGAAATCCAGAGTGGCTACATTACTACTAGACAGAATAGATACAGATCAAAAAGAATTATCAGAGATATAGTAGTTTCATAATGATAAAATGTTCCCTTAATAAATGGACATAAAAATCCCAATGGTTTTGTACCTAGTAACAGTGTTTCAAATTACATAAAACAAGATTGATGAAAATGCAAAGAGAAATCCACAAATCCACAAATACAGTCAGAGATTCCAATATCCCTTTCTCAATAATAGAGCAAGTAGACAGCAAATAAGTAATGGTATAGAATATCTAAACAACGCTATCAACTAACTTGACCTATTATAAAACACTCTATCCATAATAGCAGAATGTACACTGTTTTCAAGAGCACAAGAGATATTTACCATGATAGACTATATTCTGGGTGATGAAACAAGTTTCAATAAATTCCAAAAGATTCAATTCCTAAAAACTATATTCCCTGACCACACTGAGGTTAAATTAGAAGTCAGCAACAGAAAGCTTCTGGAAAAATCCCTAATTATTTGGAAACTAAATAACACATTTGTGGCCAGGTGTGGTGGTGGCTCACACCTGTATTCCCAGCTCTTTAGGTGGCTGTGGTGGTAGGATCACTTGAGGCCAGAGGATGGAGGCTGCAAGGAACTCACACTGCTGTATGTATGTATACTCACACTACTGTACTCCACTCTGGTAACAGAGTGAAACCCCATCTCTATTTTTTTTTTTAAATAACATTTCTAAAAAACTACAACACTTCTAGAAAGAAACACAGGAGGAAATCTCTGTGTCTTTGGATCGGGCGAAAAATTTCTTAGCATACCCAAAAGCACAATTTGTAAAATAAAAAAACAAAAATGATCTTATCAAAATTAAATAAGAACTTCTCTTTAAAAGAAAATATTAAGAGACAAAAAGACTTGGCAAAAATATTTACAAGCCAAATTTCTGATAAAGGACATGTATTCTTAATATATAACTCTGAAGACTCAATAATGAGAAAACAAACAAGTCTATACAAAAATGGGCAAGAACATTTGAAAAGACACTTCATTTAAAAAGATACATGAATGGTAAAAAAAAGCACCTAAAAAGATATTCAGGATCATTAGTCATTAGCGAAATGCAAATTAAAACCACAATGAGACCACTAAATATTAATACCTATTAAATAAAAATACTGACCATGTCAAATGTTGGTGAGGCTGTTTGACAACTGGAACTTTCATACACTGCTGGCAGAAATGTGACATTATACAGCCAACTTTGAAAACCAGTTTGGCAGCAAGTGAAACATACTTGTTATATAACTCAGCCATTCCACACCTATTTGTTTATCCAGGAGGAATAAAAATATGTGTCCAAGGACTTGCATGCTATTGTTCACGGCAGCTTTATTTATAATTGCTAAAAAAAACAAAACTTGGCAACAACCCAAAAGGTCACTAACAGGTGTATGAGGATAAAGAAATTGTAAGGTCTAAACACAATAGAGCATTGATCTGCAATA